GTAGGTCAGGCGTCAGTAGGAAAGCATGCCTATTTCTCTCAGCCAGGCTTTCTGGAGCCCTGCCTACAGAATTCAAGTGCTTTCACACCCATTAAATAGTGGTTTTGGGAAATCTTAGTGCAGGTGTTTTCAGTGTAGTGCAGGACATCCAGGGGTCTTGAGCCCATTTCAGGGGTCCAGGAGATCAAACTGTTTTAATAATATCAATGAGACATCATTTACCTCTTTCATTCTTATTGTCTCTGGAGAGAGCTATGGAGTAGCTTTGTGACTGCCCACTGTACACTGCCACCAAAGACTGAATGCAGAAGCAGATGTGGGAATCTAGATGCTTTCTGTTAACTGCTCACTAAAGACTTCTGAAATGTTAACCAGTGCTCCACTTTTGTTTTAAAGTTTGGGAGTTATAGTTTCTTCTCAAAAAATTACTTAAGTATTTTTAATTATCAAATGAATAATACTTAAGTTTTGTTGTTTTGACTTCTAATGCTTAAATATCAGTAAGTACAACAAAAGCTCTTTGGGAGTTCTTAAAAAAATTTAAGTGTGCAAAGGGATTCTGTGACCAAAATGGTTCAGAATTGTTCTATACAATAAATGATCCTCATGAACCTTAGAAAAGAGTGAAGATGACCTTATTACACTGGGGGGGCTTCTATTGTTTCTGAGTGGTAGAGTGACTGTTTAACATGCATGAGGCCCTGAATTCGATTCACAGTCCAACAAACAAACAAAAAACAAAACAAAAACACCCCCCCACATACACACACAAAACCAAAAGCAATACAAATAAGCAAATAAATAAATAAAAACAAAACAAAACAAAAACCCAGCTATGGGAAAGGCAGTTGTATGTAGTTTTCAGTACAAGGCTTAGCAGTGATAGTAGCTATAAGTGGCCATGACCTTTACATTGTTACCTATGAGGCACTTCAGCAGGACTTGAAGTGTTTTTTGTTGTTATTGTTTTTTGTTTTAATTTTAGGTGCTGGTGATCAGACTCAGGGCCTGCTGGTAAGCACATGCTCTTCCACTGAGCTATGCCTCAGTCCCCAGGGCTATTAATCTCCCCATTTTATAGATAGGAAAATTGAGTTGGAGGCTAGTTGTGATTTACCAAAGATCATAGAGCTAGTTAGGTAGAGCTGGACTCACTTGGTGCTTAGGACTCCCAGTGGACATGTGTCCACCTCTTTGCCAACTGCATTGATGATAGGATGAATCGTCAGTCGGTTTGGGATCTTCCAGCAGACCACAGTATAATAAATGCCCACTCCAACTCCTTGTGAAGAACAAATTATGTCAGACCAGTTGCATATTCTCTATGATGAAATAAATAATGGGCATTGCTAATACCCTAAGCGATTGCATTCCGTTGCAATTTACTGACTAGTTTGGAGAGATTATCTCAGAAAAGTAGAATAACATATAACTGGGAAACTCTAACAAATAAAACCCCCATTTTTTTTCAATATATAGGATGGAGAGCATGCTAATAAGCTGAAAAAAGGAGAAATATTCTGTAGAGTATTTGTTGACAAAAGGCACAGTGACAACGCTGTGGTGTCATGGGAAGAGCATGACACATCCAGCAATCCTGGAAGTGTTCTCTATAGAGCTGCACAGTCAACTTCACTTAGAGGACCATGCCCACTTCTGTCCTTACAGTGGCAGAAGGTGAGAAATGCCAGTGTTTGAAATGTGGCCATGGGATGAGAAACACAGAGGATTCTGAGGGAGAGTGGAAGGGAAGGACTCAGAGCACTGGCTAGCCAGTGGTTCACCTGGGCTCACTGGTGTTGCCTGTGGTATAAACTCAATTTCTTTGATTTCAGCACCATGTGTTGGCTTCATTTTTTGAAAATATAATTTTTTTCTGCTCTGCATATCATTACATGAGCAGATGTTGCTGTATGTTTTTAAACCCAGTTTTTAGAATGAGCACAGTATCAAATAACATAGTCCTAAAAACAGAAAAGAGAAAAATGGCTAACTGAGTACTTACCAGGACACTTTTAAGAAGGTTCCAGCTTGTTAGCTGTTGCCTGTCTAATGTACAAAAGTAAAGAATATTGTAGAAGAAAAGAAGCCATATGGCATGCTAATTGATGTAAACTGAAAGATGTTCACTTGGATTTTGAAAGAAAGAAAAACATAGCTGGTAAGTTAGGATGGTAGTCTATTACTGAATGTTTGCCTCCTACCCATCTTTATCTCCTAATATTTAAAATGGAAAATGTGTTCTTGCAATATTTACCAGTGATCCAAAAGGAAAAGAAAACATGAAAAAAAATGCATGACTCAGTTTTTTCAGGTTATCACAAAACCGATTCAGCTTCTGAATCTTATTAAAGTCAAAATATTGAGTCAATTCATCAGGATTAAGCTATAAGATTTCTGCTTTTTGCATGTTTTGAAAGCAGGACTTGATAGAGAAGGAATATTTACGTAACAATGCTGTTACTCAGTGCTCTTGCATTTTTCTGCAAATGCTATCTTAATGGAAATTTACTGGAAAATTCTTGCTAGAATAAACACATTCCTTTAGGAATGAAAGGCTTAATGTACTTCTAGTTCAACTGTACCTCTTTCCTGTGAGCAGATAAACCAAATTATTTGGCATTAGTCATTATACTGCACATGGTTCACAGTCCTTATTGTGGTCTCCCAGGAGGGCCATAGGGATGGGGTAAGAAACGAGAACCAGGCAGCCATACTTCCACTGAAACAAAAGCAAGCTTGGGGCATCTGTACACTTTGGGGCATTTGTACACAAAATAAACAAAAAATGAATCTGGCAGGAATTCTGTAAATTACCTTTAGCTATCCTGGTAAGACAAGGTTGATGAAAGACTATGAACCTCAGATAAATTGAGCTTCTGATTCTGGAATTTTTTTTTTAAATCATTTCTAAGAGAGAGATGTAACTTTTTCATTACTATGTTTAAAATTGGGAATGAAAATCCTGTTATGAAAATATTGGTCATAAGGTGACCACTAGGACCAGATAAGGAGGCTGGGGTGCTTGTTACACAGCCAAGCAAACCGGATGTTTGGGACTAGGGAGGGCAGAAGCACCCCTTGAGTTAAGTGTTAGAGAAGACAAACAATGCACGATGGAGACCTGAGGAAAGAGATGCACAAACATGTTTGGAGTTCCTCTGTTGTCTTTAGTTCCGGTGTCCACCTATCAACCACCTTGAGGTTCCTATAGGGTCTCACTAAAAAGGCCAGGCTGGCCTGGAATTTGCCATCTTCCTGCTTCAGCCTCCTGAGTACTGGGATTATAGGCATGCCCCACTATGCCCGGCTCCAGGGAGAGATCTTAGTGATTATTTATTTATGCCAACAGCATTAATAATACTTATTAATACTTGAGCAAGATAGAGAGGACCATGTTTAAGGGACTAAAGATGGCCTGTTAGCAAAGCTAACTATTCAGCTGGGCAGCAGTAGCTCATGCCTGTAATCCTAGCTACTCAGAAGGCAGAGATCAGGAGGATCCTGATCAAAGCCAGCCCAGCAAATAGTTCATGAGGCCCTATCTCGAAAAACCCATCACAAAAAAGGGCTGGTAGAGTGGCTCAAGGTGTAGGCCCTGATTCAAGCCCCAGTACTGCAAAAAAAAAAAAAAAAAAAAAAATGCTAACCACTCAACTTTGCTACACTCACCTGTAGCAGTAGACAATGAAGTTCTTTGGCTTTTTCTAATAAACCGGTTGAAACTACACTGCTGGATAGATTTTCCCAGAGTTCAGTGGCCCTCTCACTCATGAAGTATTAAGAGCCTAATATTTTAAATAATCCTGAGAAAGTACAGTTTAAAGGTGTGAGGATATTCACATATTATTAAGAAATTTTATTTTATTGTACCTTTTTATATTCAGTATGTATTGGAAATAAAACCAATGTAGCAAAGAATTACTTCCTAGACGTCCTTCTTGGGAGATAAAAGAACAATTTAAACATAGAATATTAAAATGCTTTTTCACCAATTTTTATCCCCACTCAAATTTTACTTTTTTAATAAGATATACGTGCAAAATATTCCTCTTTAAGTAATTAGGTGCTATTATTCCTCTATCTGTAAATAATGATATAAAAATTTAATATTTCTATTATCTATGGGTTTATCACAAGTTTCTTTAATTCAATTTTAGAAATAGATTAGGATATGAAAACAAAGAAAAAGCATAATCTTGAAATTATAAAAATAATCTCATCAATTTATCTTCTTCATAAATATTACCTAAGATAAATGTTTGAGGTAATCCCAAACTATTCAGAATTGCCAATAAATTAGTTTTTACCCACATTTTAAAGTTATTAATACATATAAGTAATGGGTACATTTATAATTTTTTTTATGGTGGTACTGGGTTTATGAACTCAGAGCTTTATGCTTGCTAGGCAGGTGCTCTTCCACTTGAGCGAGGGTCCATCAGCAAGGGTACATTTGTAAGTAAAGGTTTTAAGTTGCTTTCCACAATAGAGTGTGATAGCAAACTTCATCCTTCTACTTATATTTCAGTTCCAAAACTACAAATGGAAGATCAAGTAGTACTTTATTTATTGGTTGCACATAATTGCTATGTAAGAGTTGCTGAGTTTGGTTTATAAATATAAATGATAAATATTAACTGTTGTTTAAAACTCATTCCCAATTTTATTCATTAATAGGCAGAATGAAGATTCATCCTGTTGCTTTCTAAAAACAAATTTTCAGATTTAAGTGTGTCCAAAATAATCTGTGATGTGAATGGAAAAACACATTATTCAATGTCACCCTTTTTTTGTAGATTATGAAACTGTTCATTCTACATGCATATTTTGATCAATAGCACCCCAAGGTATATGGTTTCAAAATATTTATCTCCTTTCTTTTATTAAGGAAAATTTAAAGGGTTTCCAAATTCTTCAGATTGGTGCTAAGATACTTTGGAAATTGTACTGTGTCTTCATGTACTAAAACATGACCATGTTTTCTTTTGAATTTTCAGTCGAAGATATGTCCAGTATACCATGAACCAGGAAAGCACTACCAGAGTCACAGAAAAGCCTGAATTTAATCGATCAAGTTCCCAGGATTCCTTGGATGAGCTATCTATGGAGGATTATTGGACAGAATTAGAAAACATCAAGAAATCTAGTGAAAATGGTCAAGAAGATGAAGAAGTGGTAGTTGTCAAAGAGCCTGATGGTAATAAATCCATAAGCAAAAGTTGTATATGCATTTATGGAAAATGAATTCCTAGAAACGAAGAGGAGAACATCCAAACAATGATATTAGTAGTTGACTTTCTACTTGAAAATTACTTGTTTGTGGCAATTTATGGATACAGCTGCCAGATACAAGTACCATGAGCAAAGTCACTTACATATAGCTGCACCTAAACTCTTGGTGGCTAAGCCTGCTGTATTTATACACTTATAGTTAGAGTTGATCTTTAAAAATACTTAAATTGCCTTTAAATTCTGTCTGTAATATGCTATTCTCATGGTCATTAGTCTCCAGGAAGTGTACATAGTGGTGGAAGCTCATGACTTTGCAATGATGCTATTTTTCCAGTAGTCAGTCTACATGATTTATTTATTTATTTATTTATTATTATTATTATTATTATTATTATTTTGGTACTGGGGCTTGAACTCAGGGCTTTTCCCTTGAGCTACTCCACCAGCCCTATTTTTGTGAAGTGTTTTTTTTGAGATAGGGTCTTGCGAACTATTTGCTTAGGCTGGTTTCAAACCATGATCCTCCTGATTTCCACCTCCTGAGTAGCTAGGATTACAGGTGTGAGCCACTGGCGCCTGGCTAATTTGATTTGTTTTGATCTTTATTTTATTGATTAACAGTCTGTTATCTTCTAACTTTGACTCACTTGGTATAGTTTTCTTTTCTTCCTGCCTTTAGGAGAAACAAAACAAATTCATTCTACTTTTACTGACATGGTAGCCTTTCAGGTATTTGAATATATTTGTCTTGTTTCTAGGCAAAACTTTTCAACAAGGAAAACTTACCTAATCAATCCTTGTGAGTGGTTTTTCGGACCAATTGCTGTCTTAGTCATATTATTGAAAGTGTATTACACCAGGAGGCTGTACAGAGGGGATAAAGGAGGGTGAATATGGTTGATGTACTTTACATGCTTCTGTGAAATAGAACAAGGAAACCTTTTGCAGTTGTTTTAATGGGGGAGGAGGATGAGGGAGAGAAATAGTGGGGGTGAATCTAACTAAGGTACAATGTAAGCATATATGGAAATGTCACCACTAATGAATAATAATAATAATAATCAAAAACTAACAACATATATTATACCAGGTTGGATGTAGTGGCATGGATTTAGCAAGCTCATACAAGGATGCAGATTTGGTTAATGGAAGATGGTATTAGCATCTTAGTTCCCACGGTTGAGTCTTATAGTTGTTCCATAATTGTTTTCAAGTTTCTTCCCAACAGTATTTTCCACTATGCTTGATATTCTGGAGGAAACATGTAATACTTTAATTTTTAATTTGTTTTTAAAAATTCATACTGTTTCTTTTAGTTTCTGAAATTCAAGCAGTCATCTTGTTTCTTTTTTTTTGAGGCAGGATCTTGCTGTGTAACCCAGGCTGCTCTTTTAACTCATCACCCTCTTACTTCAGCCTCCCAAGTGCTGGATTATAGGCATGCATCTTCATGCGCAGCTACATCCTCCAGATTTTGTTGCCCAATTTTGACATATGTCATATTGGCTTTCTTTCTGTGCCATCCATAAATTTGAAAGTATATTTTGGCATATTAGTTGACATATAAATGCCAAAATGGTGAAAGCCATAGTCAGTGCTTATGATCCACTAACAGAGGCTTCCTTCTCAACAGAGTGACTAAACCCAATAATTTAGGATTGAGTGAAGTAGAGAAATCTATATAAATGGAGATTTCTCTGTGCTGCAACATTGCTTACCTAATCTACCAATTATAATGTAAAGAGAAAAAGTTGGATTTTTTTTTTTTTTGGCTTTTTGTTTTTATGAGACAGATCTCACAATGTAGCCCAGGCTGGCCTCCAATTTTTCATCCTCTTGCCCTAGTTTCCAGAGTGATGGTATGATGGCATGGATAGATTTTTTAAAATGTAAGATGCCTTAGATTTGTAAAAGAAATCTATAACCAACTGCTTCCTTGTTTCTTATAAACAGCTCACTTAACCAGCATGCTGAATAGGGAAAGACTATGGTAAAGCAAACAACATTTACAAGAGACACCCCGGAGTGCGACATTAGCTATTTGATAATTCTCCAAAGTTTAAACTCCATTCATAGATCATCACAGACTTTGTGGCCATCAAGCAGAATGGGGGGTGCCAGTTCTCATGCCTGTAATCCTAGCTACTCAGGAGGCAGAGGTCAGGAGGATCATGGTTCGAAGCCAACCTGGGCAAATAGTTCAAGAGACCCTATCTCAAAAAACCCTTCACAAAAGTAGGCCTGGTGGAGTGACTCAAGGTTAAGGCCTTGAGTTGAAACCCCAGTACCACAAAAATAAAAAATAATAATAATAAAAAGAAGAAGAATGGGGGTGGCTCCACATGCCCATACCTTGCCTTAAACTTTAAATCTTTTAAGGTCTATCGTTCTTTTTTAACGGAATAAGTGACACTCTATAGCAATCCATGCTCCTTGTTATAGCAATGACAGCTTTTTTTCTGGTAATTTGGTTTTATAAACCTGTACTAAGTTCTACCTGAACAGCATTAATAGTAATGGTTGACTTTTTAGGTCAACAAATTATTTTTGTTGCCTGGCACACAGAGTTCCTAAAACTAGATTGTTTCTTGAAGCCAAGGTTATTAATACTTGATTTCTGTTCTCTAGGGGTCTATATGGACCAGGAGGACAGTTAGCAGGCCAGTCAGTGCTATATCAATGATACAGGCTGTTTGCAAAGCTCTTTCCATAGAACATTCTCACATTAGGTTATGAAGTAGCTGGAATAACTATCTTTAAGTTTACAGCTGAGAAAACAGAGTAGGCTTGAGGATAAGTGACTTATCTAAAGTGACATTGCTCGCAAATCACAGAAATGAGGTACAGAGCAGGTCTTTTGTGACCCAAGCCATTGCTCTTTCATTTCTGTCTCTAAACATCATGCGCATAGTGAAACTGTTCTAGTTTTCCATCTGTTTTTCTATAATTTCATTAGATCTGAGATAACACAGTCATCACTTGGTATACATGAATGATTGTTTCCAGGACCCCTGAGGATACCAAAATTCACAGACAGATGCTCAAGTCCCTTACACAAAATATATAGAATTTGCATAAGTCTATGTGTATCCTCTTGTATACTTTCTTATCTATCTATCTATCATTTATTTATTTAGTTTTGCAGTACTGGGGTTTGAGATCAAGGCCTGGGCTTGCTAGGCAGGTGCTTTACCTTTGAGCCAAACCCTTAGCCCCTCCTGTATTCTTTAAATCATTTCTGTCTTACTCATAATATATAATAAAATGTAAATGCTATTAAATAGTTGTGATACTGTATTGCTTAGGGAAAATGACAAGAGAAAATGTCTGCAGTTGGGCATGGTTTTGTACATGTGTTATGCCCACACTCAGGGAAACTAAGGCAGAAGGATTGCAACTTTCATGCCAGCCTGGGCTACATAGTAAGACCCTGTTTTAAAGCAAAACAAATGTGCATGGAAGCAATGCTAGGAATCTGTCTGTATAGCTATCCTTATCTCAACTAGCAAAAATGCTTTGTCTTTCTTATTATTGCTTATGTCTTCTCTTCAATAAAATTGGAGAAAAGGGCAGAGCAGGTTCTGCCTGGAAGTGAGGGGGGTTGGGGGAGAAAGATGGGGCTGGAGGGAGAAATGGCCCAAACAATGTATGCACATATGAATAAATGAATAAAAAAAAAAAGCAAAACAAAAATTTGCCCTCTTCCCCAGTTTGAACATGCTCAGATCAGACTCAGTGTTTTGTTGTTGTAGAATCCTCAGATGCAGTGACTACAGATCGAGAAGGCTCACTGTATTTGTGATTTATTTTCTATATTATTTTGAATTGATTGTTATTTAATTGGTTTGATATATAAGCTCTTTTTGTTGAAAATACTGTGCCATTTTTAATTTGTAAAGAACATAATCTGATGTGTTTTGACATGGGGGATTAGAAAAACTAATCTGAAAAGTTGAATAGTTCCCAATGTCCAGATGCCCATTTCTTTTTCAAACAGGATCTTGCTATGTAGCCCAGGTTGGCTTCAAACTTGTGATCGTCTTGTCTCAATTGCCTACGTTCTGGGATCACAGGCATGCACCACTATGCTCGTGCTCTTTACACCTTCGCCATGTACCCTGTCAAGTACGGTAAACAGAGAAAGCAAGCCTTTCCATAAATTAATGTCAGACTACAAGACAGTGCTGAATTTAAGCCAAGAAACTGGGCTTGAATGTGCATCCCTAGCACTGACTTCCTTCTTAACTTGATAGAAGCAAGTTATCTTTTCATTGCTTGCTTTTCTAGAAGGGGAACAGTATTGTCCTTCCCAGTTAATCTGCAGGGAAATTGTAGAGGTTAATTACATGTGAGGTAATTTAAAATTTTTAATTGATATCAACCTAAAATCTGATATCACTCTGGCCAGAGTGAATGGCAGTTGTCCAAATTTCAGATAATGTTTCTTAGCACTGAGGTTTGGTTATAATAGAAGAATTTCAATAAGAATGTTTTATTGAGTAAAAAAAATGTGAAAGTTCTTTGATTTAACAACCATTTTTATTTTTTGTTCTGCTTTAGAGGGAGAATTGGAAGAAGAGTGGCTTAAAGAGGCTGGTTTGTCCAACCTCTTTGGGGAGTCTGCTGATGATCCCCAAGAAAGCATGGTGTTTTTATCCACGTTGACCCGGACCCAGGCAGCAGCTGTTCAGAAACGGGTAGAGACGGTCTCACAGACCTTGAGGAAGAAAAACAAACAGCACCACATTCCTGACGTCAGAGACATATTTGCTCAACGGAGAGAGTCAAAAGAAAAAGTGAGTTTTCTTTTCTGATATGAAGGCAAAGGATTAATTGCTTAGTCTCACCTGGACCAGTTCACTTTAATTGCAATCATTACAAATGTAATGAGCTCCTATTACCTGCCAGGTACTGAAACTCTGTGTTGGCAGTGAACAAGCGTCTTGATCGCTAGCCTTCTACAAGTTACATTGAGAGGGCAAAAAATTAACCAAGTTAAAGTTCCAAGTGACAATGCTGAATTAGGAAGAGCTTTTGTTCTTGGAACATTAGACGTGCATCTCTCCCCACTAGGGTGACAGAGAAGGCTTCCCAGAAACCTGTCTGCCATTTGTTATGTGTAGAAAAATAGATGATAAGGGATCCTTCCTTATTTATTAATGTGTGTAAGAATATTTGAATTTTAGACTCAAGAATAGATGGAAGTGGACTGTGAGTTTGCAAATGGCAGCTGAATTACAAAGTAGGGATCCTAAGATGTGAAATAACACCCTCTTTGTGTTGAGCACTTAGCCCCATACAGAGCACATACAAGATCTGAGGAAAACTTGTTCATATGGTTAAATTATTAATGGAAGATGCTGAAGTCTTGTGGAGATCTATCAGAGAAGGCATAGTAGAGGTAACAGACCTGTGTATTCCAGAATAGTGCTACTCAAAATAGCCAGTTGGTGGGTTACTTATTACTCACCCATGAGGAAATAAGGAGCTTGCATGAAGTGCAAATAATCATACTTTCTTTCCTCAGGAAAGTCTTGCTACCGAAAAAGCAAAAGTCAACTGAAGTAAACGGTGTTATTAAGGGTACAGTAGATTTACATTCTGACCTAGAAGATTCAGTGAGGTAGTTGGAATGGGAACAAACAAAGGAACTCTTGCACGATGTTTCTAATAATAACAGTGACAGTAGCAATTGCTGCCACCACTCCTGAGCACTGTGCTAACTGCTTTACCTGCGTTCTCTCATTTAGTCCTACAGCTGTATTATGAGTGAAGGTATTGTCACTTCCATTCTATGATTGAGGCTCATAGACTTTAAGCAACTTGCTCAATGTCCCATAGATACTAAACCCAGATTTGCCTGACTCTAAAGTACATGCTTTTAACCATTCTCTCTCCTGCTATATTTTCATTTCCAAGCATAATTCTGATATTACATATTCTGAATATGAGATTCTATTTGCACCATAAGTAAAGGGTGATAAAAATGTTATGATTCTTCATATGAAAATGAAATGGAAGTGTTTACTTTTAAGGTTTTTTTCTGTCATATAGAGACCTTTTGTTTTTTGTAGCTGTTTCATTCTTCCAAAAAATCCTTTGTGGTTACTGACTGCTACTCTGTTTGCATGGCCAATTGTTGATCAAACCTAGTTGGTTTACAGGAATTCTTAGGTCACTACACTGCTCCAGGCCTTTGTGTAAGTTAAGCACTTGCCAACCATCAGTGCTTATATTTGGGACATATAATAACTAGGCAAGGAATGAAGTGTTAACTAGGTTTCCAGCTGTAGAAGAATGAAAAGGAAAGATAGAATTATGGCATTTCCTTCCAAATTAAAAGAACTCTCCTTAAAGGAGCTAAGAGAAAGTGAAAAGGTTGAGGACTGAGCCTAAGCAAAATATATTCTGTGTGATTCCTGTCAGTCTCCAAGAGGGTGTTAGTACTGAGTGCTAGTAGCATTTTTCAGCAAATTCCTGGAAATGTTTAAACCACATGGTTTGGAGTCTAAGACAATTGGTGGATTGTATCATCTGATGGTCTCATCAAGAAAGAAATAGCACAAGCAAATTAAAATAATGTTTATTTGCTTCTACTGCATGCCTTTAATTGAAACACCGCCACCCATTAGAGATTTTCTTGACACAGGGCCAGCTGTCTTCATCTGCAGTTCTTCCGTTCTTTAGTAAATGACTACTCAGCTCTTCCATTTTATATGTTTTCTCGTGAAGCCCCTGCTGACGCTAGGAAATATAATACAGAAATGAATACCATCTGCCCTGCCATCTTCGATTGCTAAGGAAAACAACCCTGACCACATACTCCAAAAATATGTGTTCATATGCAAGTTTAGAATCACTTGCTGTGTTCATGGTGCCATGGAAAGCCAGCCCTCTGCAGGCTTGTGGACAGAGGAAAGGGGAAAGCTATTGTTCTGTCCTGCAGTAACCATTGAGGTGCCATGGCCCCATGTGCCACTTCAGTGAGCTGGGAATCACCGTGCAGTGTCCTGGGTACTGTGGTGTCTAAGTTACATATTAATGGAATTTATGCCTGTCCACGCAGGCGAGGGGCACGCCCTTTGGCTAATAGCTTGAGGCGAAATATGGTAAGGGGACTACAAAGGCTCCATTTTATCTGTAGACATGGAATACGGTAGAATTATTATTTTGAAAATAATTCATTCAAATAGATCCTTTTGCATGGTTGACCCAGAGATCCTTTCAAAGCCTTACCTGGAAAGGAAGAGAACTGTTTGGCCACATGTACATGGTGAGAGGTTGTCCCTGGCCCTCTCTCCATGGAGGCTATGTCCTTCAGGAGTCCTTGTTTCAAACCATTAACAAAAGTATTCCTTTGAACATTTTATCTCTTATTGCTGACTCAGTAATTTAGTTTCAAGTTATCTCACATTTATGAGTTACCGTTTTTTTAAAAAAGAATTTCTGTCTTACTTCCAACATGTCAGCTTGTAATTTTGTTTTATAATAACATTATTGAAATGTAATTCACATTCCATACAATTCACCTGATTAAAGTGTAAAATCCAAACCAGGCATGGTAGCATATGTCTGTAATCCCCGCAGGAGGGTTACATATTTGAGGCCAGCGTGGGCTACTAGTGAGAACCCTTTTCAAAAAAACCAAAACTAACCAAACAAAACACAATAAGACATGCAATTCAGTGATTTTAGTAGGTTCACAGAATTTCCACCGTCACCATAATCAATGGTACCACATTTTTATTCCCCAAAGAAAGCCCATCCCATTAGCGGTTATTGTCTATATTCGCCTCACTACTCCTAGGCAACCGCTAATGTACTTTCTGTCTCTCCAATTTGCTATTCTAGACATTTCATGTAAATGGAATTGCAAAATGTGTGACACTTTGTGACTGGTTCTTTTTTTCACTTAGCATAACACTTTCAAAGTTCATCCATGTTGAAGCTTGTGTCAGTACTCCATTCCTTTCTATTGCTGAACAACATCCCATTGTGCGGATGGACTTCCTTTTTTTAATTCACTGACTGGTTGATGGTTATTATTAGCTTTTTATCACATTTGTCTTTTTCCTTCAACTAGAGTGATGTTTTTGATGATGGGGACACTTGACACTTTTCATGTTTCCCATGGTGCTTAGTATTGTGTCTTACAGTTGTGGGTAATCACATATTTGTTGGATGAGTGTTTGTCAATTACAACCAAAGTGCTCCCCCCTGCACCGTGAATGTTATAAGTCTGAACACATTTCTTGTACTTTAAAGGTTATGATGGAATTATTTACAATACCATTTTCTCTGGTTGTGAGTTGGAGATGATTAAATGGCTCGTTTTCTATATTTAGGCTCCAGATGGCCCTGAATTGCAGTCAGTCAGAGCAAACGAAAACAAATACGAAGGAAAAGATGGTATGTTGGACCTGTTCTCTTGGGTTTTTCCCCCTTAATTAATGTGAAACACTCACCTCCAATTCTAGTAAGCAAATTCTATCAAAATACTAATGTAAGTTTCCAGGTGGATAATGACATGAAACTGAGCATATAGCTGGCCTTCGATTATCTTGATTTGTATTCCTATCTGATTTGATATCCACATGCATAGTTTCTTGAACGCTTATCATGTGCCATGAGATGTTTACTCGTTTAATACCCTCAAGAACTCCATGTGGTGGGTACTCTGCTTAGGTTATTTTACAGATGAGAGAACTGATCTTAAAAGATAGGAAGTCTCTTTTCCCAAGGCCGCAGAGCTAGAAAGTAGAATTAGTGAATTTGAAGTCTTGTTTGCAAATCACAAACTCCTAATTCATAAATGTGTTAATGTTCAGAAATTTTAGGGAAATTTGAGGAAATTAGCTACGATTTTTTTTGGGGGAACTTGATTGTAATTCTCTTTTTTTCATACTGTGTTCCCCTTGAATATTTTTTATTTCAGAAATGAATTAGAAATTCAAGTCATGGAAGAAAATATTGAGGCTCTATTAATACTTACCAAGAAAAATACTCTAGCTATTAGTTTACAAAAAGGAAAAATGTTCTGTTAGTGCTCAATTGTTATTTAACAAACTATTATAAGTGTGAACTGTGTTTATGTTCTTAAGTCTTGGCACCTGGGGAATTCATACATTAACAGTGCCTTTGGTTTGGGAGTAACCAATTCAGGGGATTGGAAATCAGGGACACTAAAGGAATAAGAAGTGTTCCCAAATTCCTATAGAAGAAATCATGCACTGGGACAAGATTATATGGGATGTTTTAGAGTCTAGAGCATCCAGCATTGTAATTTGTTTCCAGATTTTTCTCAGAACTTCTCTCCAGCACCCTTAGTTTAAAAAAATGCACACATGTATACATCTGCCAGTGTGTGTCTGTAAACCTACACACATACATATTTATATCTCCAAAAGCACAGGCTTTTCCTCACTATTCAGTGGAGGATCAGAATGAGTTCTGGGCCTGTCCTCAAGTCTAGGACTGAAGTGGCAGGCAAGCTGGTGTAGCCGGCTGGGGTCTGCTGGAGAGCTGGGTCCTCAGAGAGACAGATGGACTTTTTGTGCCAGTGTCAATATGCTTTGAGCTTTGGGGGAGAGTGACTGGCAGTTGTCTAAGAGATACTGAGGAAAACATTGTCCTTTCTTCATGTCTTCCTCCCTTGCCAGAGATCATCATGTAGACTGTATCAGCACAAGTTCTGGAACACAAGTTCATTATGTGAGCACTTTCCGGCCTCGATTGCAGCAGGCAAGGGAACTTGACCAGCTTGCTGCCTGATTTACATCTGCTTTTGCTGGAATACTAAGCAGTGGGCAGTGAGCCGCCAATCAGAATAACAGGAGACTGTGTGTATTGCCATCCAAGGCACTGGGCGGTGGCTGCTGCACCTGTTCTGGGCAATGGCACGCTCTTCCCCTCGCCAGTGAACTCAGTGTTTTGCAAACATTGGAAGGTTTAGGATGAATGCATGGGAACAGTGTCTGGAGTGCCAAAGTGTGGCTGTTTCTCATTAAAATCCCAAAGCATGGGTGACACAGTCTATTTTAGGTGTTTTTCCCATACTTGGTTTTTCAAGCCTGTTCAAACAATGATACTTATTCCAAATCAAAAAACTAGAAAATTTGAATCTTGCAAGGCTTGTAACATTTCACATTAACTCACCACTAGGTATTCATCTTAACTTTTCATCAAATCATACAACGATGAAAAAGCCAGTGTTTAATATGTGTATTTAGAAATATTAGTACTCCCCAAATAATTTCTTTAAACTTTCACATTCATATGTGCGCTTATTTTCTTTTGGATTTCCATGAAAGAGGGAAAATAAATCTTTTTTGAAAAGCAAACATATTTCTGGATATTTTGGGCAGTTGAAAAGTTTTGGGAGATTTCTAAAATATTTATAACCTAGTGCTATTTTTCACATAAATGAAGGAAATTATAATATTTACACTTGAGATCTTTAAGAGCCAAACAGTTTACCTTGGTATTCTCTCCTTTTTTTTCAAGGTTTTTTTTTTTTATAGATTCATCATTTTTCTTATCTATTTAACCATCCATTTCCTGTAGCACTGACTCCCATAAACCCTTGCAATTCTTTTCCTTACTATACCTACCTTGATTTGTCACTTGAACTGAGGCTTTTATATACTCTATTTTTTAATTTTCACCATGTTTCTAGAGGAAATTCTTGTGTTCTAAATGTTTTTCTAACTTAATTATAATCTCTGAGCTTTGAATTCTGCATTGTATATTTATTTTGGTATGTGTATGTAGGGGGCGATTATTGTAACTCTGACGTGGAGGTTTTAAGAATAGTTTTAGAATTCTTGTCCATAAACACTGAGCTGCTGGAAGGTAGTTTCTAATTTAAGAAAATGGTTGATCATTTTCTTTCTCTTAGAATGGTTTCCTAGGAAACCAATATATGTATTCATAGCAAAACATAAAATAGTATAAACCAATGGGAAAATAAAACTAGGCTTTGTCATTTATGTTAATACCTTAAAAACTAATAATAAGTCAGGTGCAGCGGCTCATGCTTATAATCTCACAATCAGGAGGCTGGTGGTTAGAGACGGCACCTGGCAAAAGGTTCACAAGGCCCTATCTCAATAAAAAAGCCAGGTATAGCGGTGCATGCCTGTGATTTCAGCTATGCAGGAAGCTATCGGTAGGATGATCTTGGTCCAAAGCCAGTCCCAGGCAAAAGTGAGACCCTACCTGAAGAATAACTAAAGCAAAAAAGGTCTGGGGACGTGCCTCAAATGGTGGAGTGTCTGCCTAGCAAGCTTTGAATTCAAACCCTAGTATACCATCAAAAAAATTAATTATAAAAAGTTATAGATATTCCAATTAAAAAAAATCTCACAGTTGAAAGATGTAAATGTAACATGGATAGTAGCAGATCATACTACCAAGCAGCTTTAAATTATTCATATTTTCGGAGTTGACATAGGTAAGTGCTTGCTTTCCTAACTGCGAAGTGACAGACACTGGATCCAGCGGGGCTGACACAGATTGAAAGTCTAGGTTTCTGGTTCACATTTCCACGTGGCACCAGCATATCAGTAAACCATAGGCAGGACCTCTCTGCATCATATGCATTATGGAAATGTTATGATAAACCCCCATATTGTGTCCAATTTAATATATTATAGTGAAAAATATTTTTTAAAAAGGGAGTGAATAAGACTAGATTCATGTTTACTTCTTAGCTTTATTTTGGTAAAAACAGTTTTATTTATAAGTTAAATAACTCTATACTTTTTTGGAACAGTAGGTTTTTAAAAATAATATATATAGGTGTATGTGATATGTATTTATTAGATTTTAGCATTAACTTTACCTTCCATCACTTTGTGTCACTATGTGAGCACGTTTGTGTATAAGCAAGCGAATTGCAAATGAGCTATAAAGTTTACTTTTTGGGGGAGAGGGTTTGAGCTCAGAGCTTCACGCTTGAGCCACACCTCCTGCCCTTTTTGCTCTGGTTATTTTGAAGGTAGGGTCTCACTTCTGCGCAGGCCAGCATGAACCATTGTCTTACTATTTTACGTTTCCTGCTGTTGTTGGGTGATGGGCTTGCGCCAGCAGAATTAGCTTTTTCCCTTGATATGGGAATGGTTTTGCCCAGGTTGGCATTGGAACCGTGATCCTCCTCATCTCAACCTCCCAGATAGCTTGGGATGCCAGATATGCACACCACTGTGCCCAGCTATTGGTTAAGTTGGAATCTTTTGAACTTTGTGTCCGGGCTGGTCTTAAAACTTGATCCTCTCAATCTTAGTATCCCAAGTAACTAGGAGTACAGGCATGAGCCACTGATGTTTAGCTGTAAGTTTGTTCTTTAACTCAGAGCTTCTTATCATGACTCAAAGGTCTGAAATGAAAACTATAAGCAATCACAGTCTTGGTGCCAAGGTTTTTCTAAAGTGAGTTGCATTAAAACCAAAAACTTGCCAGATAGTCATACAACTATTTTTCTGCAAAGCTTAAAACTAATGTTTTTCATCAGAGAATTTTTGAATATTATTCTTTCCTGGAGGATTAACAACAACATATCTAAATAAATCAAAACAAAGTTGCTATATTATATACCTTTGAAACATTGATGTGAGTATCTGCCATTTATTTGACTCGTGTTTACAGTTGTAGGAGCTTTTATAATCTTTGATAGAATTAGGTGCAAAACCTGTTGGTTCCTGTACCTGGTACCTCCAGACCTGACTCCCATAGCGATAAGTTTTTGGCATTAGTTTTTGTTTTGGAATTTTTACCATGATAGGCAGGTCACATTCCAGAAAAGAAATGCAGGGTGTGGAAGAGGTTTATTCCAGGAATCTGTTCCACTGTGAAAAAATTAAGTGGTATGCCACTAAACAGAGACTGCAACTAATCTCACAACTCCCATTTTTTGGCTATCAATTTCCTACATTTTGTGAGGTCTGTCACTGAGAGTGGACATCTTCCAGAAGTGTTTTGAACCATGGCTTTCTAGTCATTACCAGCTCCCTGCTCCTTTTTCATACACTGTTGGTAGGATTCCTTGAGTATACTTCTTATTATTAAAATTAAAATCACAGGTAATTATTGCTAGAGGAAATGATACTCTTCCCAGAGGTTTCTTTCTTTTTTCTTTGTAGCTAATACATTAGAAGTCAAAAAAAAAAAAAAAAAAAAGCAAGCATATGAATTGAGTCTTTTTTCCCTCACTCAGATCAGGCATCTAGCATCATTGTTGGTAATGAGAAGTTGATCCTACCGGTACCTGAGGACACACCTTCCTCTGAAACAGCCATCAACTTGGAGGTGTCATTTGCTGAGCAAGCAGTCAATCAGCAAGAGAGCTCCAAGGATAAAACTCAGAAGAACGAAGGCAATGATGCATCATTACCTGTACGTAATGCATGCCCAGATAACACTAACAGACTTTCTTTTTATCAGCTTTCTTATTTTGAAAATTGAGAACCCATAGAAAAGTTGAAACCATAATATAGCAAGTACTCTATGGTTTTCATACATTTATTCAACAGGTACTAATATTTTATAACCTTTCTTTCTACATCTATCTGTATTTATGTGGTATATCTGATGTACACTCCCTTTTTGCTTTGACATTTTCAAGTGCATACAAAGTAAAACACAGATATAATACTGAAGAAACTGATGTTAAAGCAATAGTTACATAGACAGTTTTGTCAGATTGCTCATTATGGTTTCTTCTTTCTCTACCCTTGTGGAATTTGAATAAGGGGTATGTGTTGCTTTGGCTGTCCTGTCTTTCTGGTTTTCTTGAGTCAAAATGTCTCCTCTGTTCATTTTTTTTTCTTTTTTGAATATTTTTGAAGAGTCCAAGGCATTTTGTGATTTTGTCTGATTGTTTCCCTGTGATTGGATTCAAGTTAGACTGTAAGTATCTGCTGCATAGATGATGTTTCTGCCTCCAGTGGGCTCATCTGAAGAAGCACATTGCTGTCAGATGGTCATTGTTGGTGATGGAGGTGTCATCACCAACTTGGCTAAAGACATGTTCTCTCGTTCTCCTTGTTGTAAAGGTACCTTTCTTATGTGCAATTTATATGAATTTGTGGTCCTTGGAACTGGGTGGATTTCCTACTTGGTAGTAACATTTGTCAAGTGGTTCTTCATCTATTTGCAGACATGCCTGAAACAGTAATTAAACTGGTGTTTGAGAAATAGTGATTTTCCAGTTCTACTACTCCTTCTACGTTAATGGTTGGCAGCTTCCTGCCTTTTTACCTTTTTGTTTTTAAATAACACTTCAGACTGATGGCTTCCTTTTTTTCATTCAGTGTTTTATAAATCAATATCATTTCTGTTTGATGTGCAAATTTATACACTCTTAGCCAGTGGGAGCCCCACATGCTTGTACTTCTCTTTCTAAAAGTACAAGACGTTCCAGGCTCACCTTATCGTTTTCTCCCCTCAGACTTGAAAGCAGACAAGTTTTCAAGGAACTCTGGATCCTTTCAGCAGCAAATGGTATTAGAAACCAAGCTCTGTGAACAGAAAGTTCTTATTGTTCCTGAATGCCTTGTATTTTTAAAGATATATTTATTGATTCAAAATTTCAAACATGCAAAAATGCTAAAGTGAATGATATAATAAACTTCCAAATAGTTATCACCTGGCCTCCAAATTCATTAACCATGGCCAGTCCTGACCTATCCATATCCCTATTTTGTTCCCTATTTTGTTCTGTTTTGAAACATATATCTGAATTGTTTCTCATCTATAAATATTTATTGGTAAAAAATAAGATTTTAAAAACACATGGCATGTTACCATTATTTTACCTTAAAACATGCCAGCAGTCCTTAATTTCAAATTTAAGGATCCAAATAAAATCCACATGCTGTAATTGGCTGATATAGTTTTCAGACCCTAAGACCTCCTATTTCTTCCCTTCTTCCTCCTCTCTTGTGTTTTCCCTTCTTTCTTTCCTTTCTTCCTTGCCTCTCTCCCTTCTTTCATCTCTCTCCTTTTTCTCCCTGTCTGTCTTATCTGTCCTGTCTCTCCCTCTTTTCCTTACAATATATTTGTTGAAGAAACTTGGTTGTTGAGTTGTGGAGAATCTCTACCTTTGGCTAACTCTATCCCCATGGTGAGGTTCAGTGTCTTCTTTTTCTTTATAAATTAGTTGATGTTAGATGTATCTGATTCAGGTTCAGTCTTTTTGTCAAGATTACTTTATATATGTGATCACACATTCTCTACCAGGAGACTCATGGTAGCTGCAACTAATTCATTAGTTTATTAATGGTCACAAAATGATGATAACCTAATATTTTCTTCTGTTTTTCATTTGATTTAGATATTTCTTTTATGATATCCTTCCTCAAAATTGTTGCCTTTCCATTTATTTATATGTTTTCAAAATTGTTTGGTTTATCTTTCACTAGTGACAAATTAATGTTTGCATTTGTTCTATAAAAATAACATCTTAGCTCATGGATTCATACATATTTGATGTCACTGTAGACAAAATTTCTCAGGCTACCTGGTGTATTTTCTGTTCCAGATATAAAATTGTCTATTTCTATAAGAACCCTTGGTTTCACTTAGTAGAAATATAGTTTTGGACACTAGGAATGTTCCATTTTCTGGATTAGTCATCACTTTCAAGCATTTTCAAAGGACAGAAGTATATCTGTACCTTCTTTCTCCCATGTTGAAAGCTTTAGTTCTTGGAAGTTGCAGGTGATATATTTAGAATGTCACATAAACACTTATTTGCTTTATACCTAACATTTCTCAGAATAACATTGTTAGCCACTCTCAGTAGGAACACTAGAAAATGCTTTAAACTTGTTTTTCTCCAGTTGTTTGTATCCTGGGTATACATCCCAAAGGGATTTTATACAGTGAAATTGTTATGCTTTAGGTTACTGAGGATGGTTATTCTCTGCATGATTAAGCCACCAACTGCATACCTGGTTGAGTTTATTTGCTTCATTTTATCCTCAGTGTTTAAAGATTGTTTTTTTTAGAAAAGTAATTTTGTCCTATAATTGTATAAAATATTTGCATGTCTTAAAAGTCAAATCTAAATATAAAACATATTAAAAATCTAGCTTTTGCACCTGATATAACCACTGTATTAGGTCCTCCTCTTACAGGCAAACATTTTATTTTTAATATTATGACTTATCCATCTGTTTTAAGATGAATGGTACCCCACTCTATATTTTTCCTACCTTGATTTTATTTATTTATTTGACTTAGTAGTGTATTCTGGAGATCACAGAATAGTAGTATAAAGAAACACTTCTTTTGTCTTTTTGTAGACACACTCCACCTGCGAGGTTTAAAAACAAGATTTCCTCTGCCACCCATTTTATTCTGTTTAATGAGTATGTGTTTGCCAACTTTCTTGACTTTGTTTGTGTTTTTCCAAAGTTTCAAAATGACAATTTCTATTTCCACCTGTCTTTTGCTCTGTATTTGCCAAGGAATCCCTCAGAGGTTAGCTCAGTGTCTAACCTTCCTGTTAAGTCTTGCCTGACTGTGAACTTATATTAGATAACACATTTGAAATGTCCTTTTAAACTGTCAGGGAAAAAGTTTTGATCATTATTAGTGTGTGTATTCATGTTTACGTATATGCATTTATTTATCTCTACAACTGTTTTAAAAAAAATCTGTCTTCTAGAAGGCAGGGACATGTTACAGAGTTTCTGCAAGTCCTCACCATGGTTGATGCAGTCACCACTCTGAATAGGTGTCTAAGCAAATAAAGTCTTAAGTTCCAGTTCTACTCCATGCTTTTCTGCCTCTGTAAAAAAGCAATAAGCTTTATGCAATACATTGTTCTTTTGAACTCATTTTATGTTCACTTCCTTTTTTGAATAGTCTTTTTTAATTCTTTAGGATCCCACAATGTGGATTCACATTTCTTCTCTTAAATTTGAAGATCAGGTTTTATAACCTTTAATGTGCAATGGTTTGAAAATTGAACTACTATGTATTGTACAAATATTATGTCCCAGAAATTATGCTCTGTAATTATTTCATTCATTTATCAAATGATCTCTGTGAAGTAGATATTATTACCCCTATTTTTCAAATGAACTAACAAGTTAGATTACATAGCAGCGTGTACAGCTTGACTTCATTGCCTCAGCTTTTGAATCTTTTCTCTTTCTTTCCAAGTTGAAGCTAGTGTGAGTTGATAAGTAAAAAACATCAAGTTCAGTATTACTGATAAACTGCCTAAGGTGCCCTTCCCCCAATATTTTCAAGTCCACCAAGGAGGGGTACAGTCAGGGAAGCTACCTAATTTACATAACACATGGGAACAAATGCCTTATATTTTTTGAAAAATTTTTAGTTCATTCTTTGCTTTAAACACATTTTTCAAAAAATAAAGAGCTTTTCCCTTGCTGAAATTCCATTGTTTGCTGTTAGGCAAGGAAGTGAACCATCCAGTCTATTAACTAAACAAAAAACCGACAGGAAACTTCATAAATATTTAAAGCAGCTGCTATGAATTAAACATTAGGATGAAGAAGTAACTCCTTCATTAAGCACAATGTTAAAATAAGTAAGTAAATAAATAAATAAATAAGCTCATGACACATACTGCTAGGTAAGTCAAATGTCTGAACTAATAATATTTCAGGTTTCTCTAAATATTTATCTTGGGTAATGCTTTAAATAATTATATTACATGTGTTTGGTTTATTAGACCCAAAGCAACTGATTTTAATGAAACATTGAGGACTTTGTTTTTGAAAGGTATAAATGAGTAAATATAGTTGGTTCAGTCCTTCAGAAAACAAAGCCGTTAGCAGAAACATAGGACCATGCATGAGAAAAATGTGACAAGTTTTGTGTGATTTTAAAAGTAAAATTCAGGCTGGGAATGTAGCTCAGTGGTAAAGTGTTACCCTGGCATGCAGAAGGCCCTGGGACTGGTCTCTAGCATTGGAGAAGAAAAAAAAAAAAGTAAAACTCAATGAAAATCACAGGAAATCGGGAGAACATCAAGAGCAACAGTGAGGTGGTCCTTCCCTCACTAAGCGTGGTGCTGCTTTTCTCCCTGTAGGGTATATCTTCAATTCAGAGACGATGGCAGAGCACCAAAAAACATCCAGGTCCTTGGTACAGTAGGGTTACTGAGAGGGTTAAGATGTCGTTTCTGTCCTTGAGGGGAATGCAGTCCTACGTCCACACTTGTCAGTCTAGATTTCTCCTGGTCTGCCTGGTGGATGGGGAAATGGAGTAGAACAGAGTGGTTACTCAATGGATTCAGAGATGTGAATTTGCATCCTTATTATTGGCTTTGTGGCCATGTTTAAGCATTTTTACTGAGCCTCAGTTTCCCCACATAAAATATATCATAGTTCTTGCTCTAGGGACTTTTGCAGAATATAATGAGAAACCATTTATCATATATGACTATTATCTTTACCATTTTTTCTTACCTTGTCGCAGTATTTAGGAGAAATGGAAAACCATGAAACATTGAAATTATTTTAAATGTCCTGTGAAAAAAACGCTTACCATGTGCCATTTGATCCTTACCACTCTATAAGATAGACGCTGGTATTAATTCACATTTCACAGAGCAGAGGCTGAGTTGTACAAGGTACTGTTATTTTGCCAAAAGCCACATAACAAGGAAGTGATAGACACAGGGTTTGCTACCTGCAGTCTGGTCCCAAATTTCTCCTAGACCCTCCCACACTGTGCACAGCACCATGGAAGTCATCCAATGCTTGAATAATTGAGAAATTTAAAACTGTGAATTCATTTAAGGTAACTATGATTGTTAACAGGAATACCGTTCTAAAAATGGGAAGTAGCATATTTTTCTAAAAGCAAAAATTGAGAAGTGTGACGTGGTTTTAATTTTAGCAAGTCTGGCTTCAGTAGATCAATTGGGATCTCTTATCTCCATCTGTATTCCATCTGTTGTAATAGCACACATCATTTACATCTGGAAAACAGTGCACACTCATGAAAGAATGAGAGTAGAAAATGTCTTAGTGTTACTAAAATTAACAGCTTTTGAGTTAATAATTTTGACCTCTCAGACTTCATTATTTATTAGCACTGGGGTTTGAACTCAGGGCCTCATGCTTTGCAGGAAGGCACTCTACCACTTGGACCATACTGCTAGTCCTCTCTTAGACTCCTTGAAAGAGTGGTAGGCACCTACAGGGGTCCCTGGACCATAATTTGAAGATGTTTCTTGTATTAATGTTTAGATCTGAAGTATTAATGATGGGGTGCAAAAAACAGCAAAGCAAAGGGAATAAAAGAGAATCAGTTGAACATCCCTGGCAATTAAATGAGGAAGTCCAGCATAAACCCCAAAGATATAATCTTGAAGACAAGATTTTTATCCAGCTACTAGAGAGTGATCATTGTTTTACTTTGCAAACACAACAGGAATGTAATTTGCATTAAACATGCTAGAGAAATTTGTGTTTTTACCCTGTGTCTTGTTTTCTTATATAAAATGGATTTAATGTTAAAGGAAGCTAAATAGTAGATGACACTTGAGAAAGGCACAGAACAGCAAATATACCACTTTTTTGCCTGTGTTCCTGGGTGGGATCTATGTCAGCATATTCAGTGGTGAAAGGAAATAATAGCCACATAAAACTAGTTGGGAAGTGCTGGGTATTTAAGCCTGACAACAGACCTTTGAATAAGAAGACTTCCTTCTCTTTCTCTCTCCTCTTCCCCTTCTCTCATTTTATAGAAAGAAAGGTTAAGCAATTGCTGAATCACACAGCTAGTAAGATGTAAGATGATTGGTAAGCCTTCTGGTTCTAAAGTCTGTGTTACATTCCACCACAATGTTTTATAGCCTTTCTGTACCAATTTTATTTGCTTGTTTGTTTGTTTATTTATTTATGACAATTTCCATGAATGGAAAAGGTACCTGGCACATTGTGAGCACACACTAATGGTCACTATTCCTCTTTTTCTTCTTCCTAGTTGTCTTATGTTATTAAGTCCTCTTTCTCTTTCTTTTCCCTCCTCATACTTCATGCCTGACTTCTAAGCATTGTTCCTTTTTTTTTGGTAGTACTGAGTTTTGAACTCAGGGTCTTGCACTTGCTAGGCAGGCACTCTACTACTTGAGTCACTCCAGCAAACATAATCATTGGTTTTTGAAAGTCAATGAGCCAGAAGTCATTTTTCCCTTGGACTCGCTGTTGCTTTTGTCTTCTGAATTGCTGGTATGAGTCCTCCCAGCAAGGCCTAGTTCAGTTCACCGTATGCCAGACTTCAGATCAACATCTGAACTCCCCGTAGGTTTGGGGATCTTCTTTATGACAGGGTCACTCTGCATTGTTTGGCAGTACTGGGGATTGAACTCAGGACCTGGCACTCTACCTACCACTTGAGCCACACTGGGTCCTTTACTCTGCATTCTGAGGAGAGAAGCTCTACCATAGCTTCTATTGTCATTTAACCTGGGTCCGACTTCTTTCTATCATTACAATTTTCTCTTTTTGCATTACAGAAGGGAGTGAGTAGACACTGTGTAAGCTTTTATCATATCAATGGTATTTATTTTAGAGTTTCAGGTTGCCAAAAGATAAAACGGGCACCACAAAGATTGGGGACCTGGCACCCCAGGACATGAAGAAAGTATGCCGCTTAGCTCTGATTGAGCTGACTGCCCTCTATGATGTATTGGGAATTGAACTGAAACAACAGAAAGCTGTGAAAATCAAAACAAGAGGTAATCTTGAAGTGGGAATGTTAGCTTTGATTCTAAAGTAGCAAAAATGGATGACATTTCAGCAGTATTTTTGGTGGGGTGGGAGACACCTACAAAATAAAACACTTGAATACATCTAGAGTTCAGGTTATAAAACATTTCCTTCAAATATTTTGAAACTTGATAAAAGTGTACCATGGCCTAGACTGTAGAAAATAAAGCAAAACCAAATAATTCCCACAGAGGGAAATTGTAGTTCAAGGCATTATGACTCTTGTGCTTTCTCCTTCAAAAACTGTATTTCTTAAACATTGAATTTGGTACACGTACTTACTTCTTTACAAAATTGGATCTTGACAAATGACTTTAGTTGGCAGGCCCTAAATGATTACTTTTGTTTTTTCATTAGATGGGAAATATGTGGTAATTAATAGTCTGTTGCTTTGTTCACTTGTATGTGATTTTTAACTATTTTGTAAAAGCATTCTCTTCTTTATTAAGAGAATAATGCTATGTGACACACAATACCACTAGTTTGTACTCATCCTCCATATGTGCAGTTTTTCTTTTGTAAGCAGCTCACTTTATCCATTACCTTAACAAAATTTATTTTTGATGATATAAAGAATGAACACCTCTTCAGTTTTTGTTCTCCAACCTTTTATTGGTCTGGAAATCCAGATGATTCTCTATTGACAGAGCTTCTCTGCTTAGGAATCTCTGTCCTCTTGTTTAACCTTAAAGGTACCAAGAATGACGATTACTGAGTTCCTATGGTAACGTTCACCAAGACAAGTATTCACCTGATTTAAGTTTTAGATGCAGTTTCTTGATAGCACTGGACGTCCCTTTCCTTTCTTTCCTTTGGGTCCCCTGTCATGGTGAACCCTGAAGACTCAGGCTGTGCTTTAGTTCCTTGGAGTATTTTAGCTTGAGGACTGGGATGGTAAATTTCTGAGTTAAATGATGCCTTTGGATTTCCATAAGTCTGTTGTAGAGAATGAAGACTTCAGGTGCTTTTTTTAGAAGCTCATCTCTAATTATAGAATAGAAATATAGTTAAAATAGCTGTAACTCAGTGCCCAAGATTTTTCAAGTGGCTTAGGTGTGTGGTTTTTTTTTTTTGGTTATTATTTTTATGTCATGTTTTATTGTTGTATCCTAGCAGAGAAATATTGAAATGTTCTTATTAAGGCTATCACTGTTTAAATGAAAATAATGAGCATCTCCTCCTCTATTTAAAAAATATCTATGTTTCCTGATATATCATACATACACTGGATGTTTAGAATTCTTGAGATTGTGTCTTTTCTGGATCCTTAAACTGAAAAGCTATTTACCAGGTTACTGGCCTTCTTTTGATGTCATTTCAGTGCCCTATGTCTGTCCTCATACCACAGGTCAGCACTTTCTCCATGTTCACAGATGAATTTAGTTTCCTCTGCTGATGTGTGTCATAAGGGACAGAGCTGTCACCCCTGTGATAATTGTCCACTCAGAGATGGGGGTGAGCTGGAATTTCTGGGTAGAGGCTATGCTCATACCAGACTCGAGGCATATGATTCTAATTTAAAAATTATAAATATTATCTGTCATTTCTTCTGGAACTATTCCTGAATATATAAAACTACAAATTTAACTTTAAGAATTCTAAGTATCCACTAAAAAGAAACATTTGTAGAACAGATCATAATGTTGGTTGATTTCTCAGAAAGTTAAGCATTTATATTTAGCTGTATTGTGGAATGGTAAATGTCAATTTAGTATGGAAGAGATGAGTGGTATTTGATTTTAAGCCAGACTTGTAATTTGATTGCACTTAGTAACTTGTTTGACTATTTTGCATGTTCTCACAGCAGTCTGTCTTTCTGATGTACCAGTCTGTCCTTTTAAAATTATTTTGTTGATTATCTGTGATTGTTTTAGTTGTCTTCCCCTGCTAGTTGGCTTTATCAAGCAGGGCCAGGTTGGCCTGTGTATACCAAATGACTAGATGGTGTCATTTTCTTTAAGGTCAGAAATCTTATGCTTTACCATTTTTTATTAGTATTTTATAGGTTGATGGAAGTGAAGATATTTTGTTTTCTTGTTGCAGATTCTGGTCTTTTTGGTGTTCCACTGACCACATTGTTAGAACAAGATCAAAGGAAGGTGCCAGGAGCTCGAATACCCTTGATCTTTAAAAAAGTAAGTAAGCCTGAACAGGTCCGTATATACAGAACATACTTAAGTGAAGAGTGATATTTTTGCACTTATACTATTATAATATAGTTTTTCAGTTGATATGCTGTTTTATTTTGTACTTTGATTTTCTATTCAGGAAGCAAATTTGTTTCAAGGGCCCATAATTTTTCTTTCACGGTGATGCCTCCTGTGTTATTACTGTAACTGTGATCACCTGGCATCATTTTCCTGTCTTGTATTAGCTGGCTTTGTATAATTGAGATTTCAATTCTATAATACACAGCAGTGGGAACTGCTTATAAATTTCTAGGGAATTGAATCCTCATGAATATTTCATGCCCGTATGTGTTTCCCAAGCTTCCTATTTACGGTGAGGATGTCCAATTTAATTTACCAGTGCCTATGTCCAAAGTAGGTAAAGAAACCATAAAGTAGAATTAGAAAATGATTGCTAAACTATCAAGTTGCTTGTGTAGTCAACACTCAATTATTCGTGAGGGTATTATCTGTAGCAATAAAAAATTGGAGCCCAACCTTAACCCTTAGCCATCATTGTTCAGAAGCATAGATTACATTTGATAAATGCTAGAAATTGCACACAGAGGAAGGTAGATCAGGTCAGTTGTGGACTTCCCAAGCCATAGATTCTTTGCAACAGCCCAAGCATTTCACAATTTCTAAAATTTCTGGGGACACAAGAAATTGATTTGCAACTGATTGGCTCAACAAACTCATCCACTCCTAAGGCTCATTCTACTTGGCATTCATCCTTGGGTTTCAAATCATTCACTTCCTTATCTTACCTACTAGTCATTGGGGCCTTTATTGCTCTTGTCTGCGATTACAGCCAAACCTGTGTGTCACTGTCTCTCCTAGTGGACTTTGTTCGGCACAGTTTACCCTACTTTGCAGCTTCTGCCAGCCACTGGCTGTATACGTATAAACTTGTCCACAGTTCCTGTGATGCATAAAGGGTCCATGTTCAAATTCTTCTAATGTCGGTAACAGGCCTGAGTTACTATACACAGGTGACTCTGCAAAGAAGGAACCTCGACAACATCTTCAGGTGTATTAGTGAAGGTTATCCAGAGAAACAGAGCGAATAGGCTAGATGTACAGAGATAGAGAGACTTATATTAAAGAACTTGTGCTTGCAGTTCTGGGGACTAGTAAATATTATGTGTAGGTGGAACAAGTCAGCAGGCTGGAACTCAGAAAGAGCTGATGCTGCAGTGTCAAGGCAAAACTCTGGATTCCTTGAAAACCCCAGTCTTTGCTTTTAGGTCTTCGGCTGATGGGATGAGGCCAACCACTTTGAAGAGAGTGATCTGCTTTATTCAAATACGCATTTAAATGTTAATCACGTCTAAAAAAATACTGTCACTGCAGCATCTAGACTAGTGTTTGATTGATCACTTGGGGAGTGGCCAAGATGGTGTACAGAATTCACCACCACAGTAGGAAAGTTCTCTTCAATATCTTAGAGACTCTGCCAACCTACTAGTTTGAAGTATTGGATAACAGCCCTGAGTTTTTTCATTTACATAAAAAAAATGAAATGGGAGTATGAAGAGTTTACTGGATAGTAACACTCATCTATTTGCATCCTCTCTGCATTATGAGCAATAAATCACAGTGATCTTTTGTGAGAAGTATCTTTTGATTTATCAGCTGACAACTCCATTAAGCCTACCCTCAATTTTGTATAAAGGTAAGAAGGAAACCATTGATCTAAAAAGAGGATTTATTACCAGTCTTCAGAGAATTATTCTTTAATTTTTGAGGAAATATCCCTAAAAAGGGCACTAAAAAGCTTATCTAATATTAATTGTCTTTTATATTTAATGTTGTGTTCTTTTGCTCTTTGTCTAAACCACACTCTCAGAAAGGGCAGGAAAAATAGAAGTGTCAATTTTAATTTATGGAAAAAGTCCACTTTGTAACCTAATTACCAAATCCATGTTTTTACTGCCAAATTACTAAGCCAAATCAGATACTGTTTGTGTCAAAAAAAAGTCTGACTTCATGTTCATTTCACCTTTCAGTTCACATAAGTGTATAATGTATATTTTGAGAAATGTTGTGAATTACTAATAAATTACAGCACTTGAAGGTTTCTAAAAACAGCATGATTAAATATATATCGATACAGTTATTTTCTGTCTCTTTTAAGTCTGAAAAATGAAAGGAAAGCTATAAAGGATACTTTATTACTTATCTTTTATTAATGTAGCCAAAATGTGTAATTTTCAAAGTGAGAAATATGAGGAAACACATGGCATTCCTTCAGACAGTATATATATATATATATATATATATATATATATATATATATATATATATATATATATATATATATATATATATATATATATATATATATAGCTATTTTTGGATGCTAACATTTGGCTTTAAAGAACACTAAAAATGACTTAAATGTAAAAATTCAGAAATTACTCTTAGTTATTTTGAAATCACAATTTTCTTGTATACTTAATGAAAGCGAAAGGCATATACTGCTAAAACTAATTTACGTCAGTAACTATCATGTAATTTTAGTTTTGTTAATAGGATATGAAAACATTTTGAACATTTTATAAGGTGAAATAAAAGTGAAAATTCATTGTATGGTGACTGTTTATAAATACTTTATTGAATGTAGCCATGTAATCTAAAATAATTCCTAACATTTTTTTTTTTGCTATGGTTCCTATCCAGTATAATTTGTAAAAAAAAAAAAAAAATGTGGTTTTGGATTTTAAAAAGTCATGTACTTCTTTGACTGGTCAGAGATACTCCAAGTAATAATAAATTCCTGGGAGAACTGCGAGACTACTCTTTGCTTAATTCTGACCCGAGTCCCTCAATATCAAGGGATCGTTTGTCCGTGATATCATCAAGGATAGAAAAGATAAGTTGATTAGAGAGAAACTGCTGTGTCTCCCAGGGTCCCACACTGCAATGTATCTGAGGTGAGAACATGCATACAAAGGTCAGAAACCTCCTTCACTCTGCAGGCCTTGCCCCAATAGACACTTTTATATGCAAGGGCAAAACAGTAAGGTCTACATGCTTTCCAGAGTCTTGGTTAATCATTAGCAGAGGCTTCCCTAGGGGAAAAAATTGTGTTTTTTTTTTTTACATTCTCTTGCCTTATGGTGTTCAGAGAATATTATAGTAAGATTGCAGATGAGGGTAGACTAGGTCTGTCTTTCATAAAGCAGAGTTTTGTGAGAGACAGTGGGTTTTAGGAAGAATGGTAGTAAAATGCCTGTATTTAAACAGGGGTATGGAAACTGATTTTCTTGAAAATAGCAGAATAACCCCCTATGAACTTTGTGTACTGCCCAGCTTTGGCAAGTGCAAGACCACTTTAACAAGCTGACCACTCTTTTCTCATCTTTGTAGCTCTCAACAGTTTGTCACTGCATTTTCCCCATTTATTTGCCTTATTTTTGTGTTTTTGGCTCATATATTTTTTTGAAAAGGACTTTATTTAGTAGGGTACTGGAGATACATCTGTGTATAATCACCGGGCCACAGGTAGGATTTCGAAACCCCATTTAAAATTCTTTGTTTTATGTTTACCATTGAAGGCTTAAAATGACGAACTTTGTTTTGACTTCATATCATAAGTAATTCTTTCTTGGAGTAAAGTAAAAATGAGGTGTAAATAAGTGCAAATACTAGAATTTCCTGACATTTATTTGATTGTACAATGTATGTTTCTGGAAAAGCAAAAGAAATTCTTGGTTGCTTTTAAGCAGTGAACATCTTCATTCTCTGTGTGAGTACCACAGTTGTTGCATGACATCATATACTTCTGTTACAAAGTAAGAATAACACTCACCTTTTTCTGAATTATGGCTAAAGTTTTTGGACTTATTGTTTTGAAGGATGGTAGTGCAATAGTATTTCAGAACCTCATAAAGTTCAGTTTACATGTCTTTGTAATCAGCTTTCATTTATTTATATGTGAAGCAGATGTTAAATTATACCTGTTACAAATATCGACATGGGAAAATTTTCTATTTATCCACAGCTGATTTCTCGAATTGAAGAGGGAGGTTTAGAAACCGAAGGCCTCTTACGAATACCTGGAGTTGCCATAAGAATCAAGGTAATGTAACCTTTCCATTCTGCTAATGTACAATTTTATTGTTTAATTATGCATTTGCAGTTTATAAGCCAACTTATCCTACTCACTCTTGTTCCTATTGTTAACAAAATGGATAAAATAAAGCAATAAAACCTCTTAATGTTCAGTTCATATTCAGTATCTTTATAATCCTTTCTGTTTTTCTATAACTTTTTATTTTTCAAAACCTGTAACAATATAATAAAGAGAACATGATGACTTAAAACATGAATAAGAGGCTGTGGTGATAGGTTTAGTCAGCACGAGCAATAGCAATTGTGTTTTTATTTTAAAGAGGACAAGAACACAGCCTCTAGCAAGTAAGCAGACTAGGGCTCTTGACAGTTGTCCCCACACATGCTTAGTCTTAGTGAGCTGGCAAAATGAGGCTTTCTACCACATTCCTGATTGGCACAGCTCCTTGTGGTACTGCAGCCAGGGTGCCTAAGTTTGGCTGGTGACTGAGGCCAGTTGATCCTTAGACTTCCCAGATGGAGTTCCCCCTTGCCCTTTCTCTTCTCTTTGGATGGCATTTCCTTCCCACTATGCCAGGGTACTGTGCACTTTGATCTATGTGCCTCACCTGCTGCTCAAGGGAACAAAGTCTCCAATGAATACACAATAAGACAGAACTAGCCTATTGGTGATTTGTACTACATATGCCCTCCAAGGGATTTGCATTTTGAAGGAGAGCCCTAAATGGAATTACAGTTATATCGAGAAAATTAACCTAGCAAAACTTTTTGGTTAGCAGTTGTTCACCATCTCTTTTTTTACTCTGTCTTCTGAATTCGACTCTAGCTTTAAACAGATCATATAAGAAAATGTCCATATCTAATATATTTTCTCCTAGAATTTGAACATCCACCAGAAAATAGGATGGAGGGAAGAGATCATTTTTCTTCATTTTTCTTAAGATGTATTCCATATGAAAATTTCAGGGATGATGAGGGCAAATGGCTGTTGGTGGTGTCCCACTGTCCTTGCCTGTGATTGCTGGGCTAAAGTGCTGTTAGGATTGGAGTCACTATTCATGTATTCCACAGTCTGCTCCCCTGGTTATTTTAATAAGTTTCCTTGCTCGAGGACACTAGATTCAGTTGACTTCATTCTCATTTCAACAGGATTTCTGTAACCTGATGCACCCCCTTAAGAATTTCAGCCTATGTCCCCTGGGTTTGGTGTTTGATCACTAGAGGTCCCAGAATCTGTTTTTGGTGTGTTTGTGAGTTTGATAATTTGCCATTGTCTCACTTCATTGCTAACATCTATGGTAAGCTCACCACCAGCCAATGGTGGGCATTGTATTTGATCTTGAGATCATTTCTGTGGAGAAGTCCATCCTCTTACAAAGGAATAATTCCTTGGGAAAAGGTAATGTTACTTTGTCAGCAAGAGCAGTGCTTCTCACCTGAGTGTTCAAAACCTTGGGCCCTTCTTAGAGTAGGATGGCCAACACACAGGAGTAAAAAATATGTTCACTTTAGTACAAAATAGTGAATATAATGTGAATTTTACTTTGTGATAGGAACTTTGGCAGAAGGGCAACTAGATATAATTTCTAGGAAGGTCAATTAAGTAGATTGAGCTGGGTCAACTGTTCAACCCAGCCTGTTGTCATATACCAGATTATACACCAGCTGGACCATTACAAATAAATTAAAGATAATAAGCAAAATTTTGCTTGTCTCTTTTCTTTGCTGTCCCACCAAATTTCTTGACTTTTCTCCTCTCTCTTCCCTCCCTCTCCTTATGTTGTCCTTCCCTCCTTCCCTCCCCCTTCCTTCTCTCTCCTCTTCTCCTTTATTTCTTTCCTTTCTCTTCCTTTCCCTCCTTTCCCCATTCCCTCAGTGTCTTCCTCTCTTTCCTCTACTTTCCATTTCCAGGGTTACCTGCAGGTTTTTTATCAACTATACAAATAATTAGGGTAGAACATGGTGGTTTTGTTGAGAATGGAAAATGTGATAAATTCACCTTACAAAATAAGGGCTGAGGATGTAGCTCATCTGTGGAGCACTTGCATGGCATGTGAGAGGCCATATGTTTAATCCCCAGCACCATCACATGAAAGAAGGAAAAAAACAAAAACACCCTTTGAGAAAAAAGAAGGAAGTATCAGAAACTTAAAAGGATTTCTGACATGCTAAGATGAAAGTATGCAGAAAATAGTGGTTATGAAACTAAATTAATTTATTAGTGATATTTGTTGTTTGTTTTTTGGTGATACTGGGATTTGAACTTGGGGCCTCAGCTAGCAAGACAGATGCTCTACCACTTGAGTCAACTGCCAGCCCATTAGTAATAATTTGGCTGGCAAAGTTTGGAGAGTCCTTGATGTAAATGAACTGGGTATTTCCAGTTCACCATGGATTCCAGCTGGTTTGCCTTAACTGGTAGTGGAATGGCTGTGCACTGAAGACAGGTATACTGATGTATTTTCATGCTGAATTTCTATAGGATTTGGTTTTCCATTTCTCATAGGTAAATAATTAGAGATCATATATTGCTTAGGCCCAGAAATTGACTATACATCTTGTTATGTAATATGCTTAAATAGCTTAAAACATACTCTTTGTTTAATGATTTTTTTTTAATTTAACAATGACTTGTAGTATCTAGGTGCACCCTCAAATGGAAAGAGTATTTTAACCAATCTTTTATTTAAATCTTCACTAATTAAAATTTGTTGAGTAAATTAAAAAAAATTTTGGTCTTAGGTGCAATTTCTCCTTGGTAAAGTTTCATTGGGATGGAAAGGATCTGATTTTTCTGAGTAACAGAGAAATATTGACTTTTGGTACTTTGCTACATCTTTACAGAGTAGAATTCCTGTAAAGTGAAAAATATATCACGCTCTCAGCAGGGAAAAAAAAATGTACTTACTGATAACTTTTTTTTTTCCTTATCCCTTTCAGAATCTTTGCCAAGAGCTAGAAGCAAAGTTTTATGAAGGAACTTTTAATTGGGAAGGTGTCAAGCAGCACGATGCAGCCAGCCTGCTGAAGCTCTTTATCCGGGAGCTGCCACAGCCACTGCTCAGCGTAGAGTATCTCAAAGCCTTTCAGGCTGTCCAGAGTAAGCGCCATCCATCTTGATGCACTCCTGTGCTGTCCATATTAATCGTCTTAATGACTTTTGGCATCACAGGGCTCATAGCCAGATGCATTTGGATGGACATGTTGACTCATGGATGCCAAGGGCTGCTCAGTTGTTACACATTGTTTTCCTTTTCTTTTATAAATATACATGTCTAAGTAAATAACAGAACGTTCTCTTCAGGTACAGATTAAGTGCCTGTCATTGAGTCAGTACAATATATTTTAAGAGTTAAAACCTGGAAACTTTTGCATTTCTCTCATAATAGGCTGAGTCACATAAGATCTTGGATATGTTTTTCTTGCCAAGTGTTAAAAGCAACACTTACTGGAGAAGCTGAAGATTAACCGTTATCATAAAAGCACAGGAGATGTGGTTGGATCTGTGAGCATTTCCTAAAAATTGAAATTCTGCAACTGTTTTGTGGAAGGATAGAACAAAGCATTTTGCTCTGTCATTGATGGAATGCCACAAACTTTTTCTTGTGTGCTGCCATTTTGTAACCACAAAATGGCAAGTTCCAAATTAAGATCTGTAAAAAACTTGATTCCTTTGCCAGGGAACACAGAGATCTGATAAGTTTTATATCCTGGCATAGTTACCTCATTCAGTCCTAGAGGCCACTGAGAAAGAAAGAAAAAATGCCATGTCTTTAAAACTATATCTTTAATGGTCAAACTGGGACCCTATTAACAATTACAGTAAGCTAC